TGTGATTTGGTTGCGTCAGGCGTGGAGACTCTTAGGAGTCTCTATCTCAAGGACACCGAGAGCGAGTTGAACACGCCGGGTGTAGATGAGTTTTAGGACTCTCAGGTTGGGATTAGGTTGGGGGAGCTCCGGTTGCGCCGGGCGTGAATATGTTTATGAATGAAATGATGCTAATGCATGTTAAGTTGAAGTTTTTTATCATGTATGTATGATATATGATATGCACAGTGATGATATATGCTGAGAATTCCGTTGAAGTACACATCAACGGACTCAGACACGGCAAGTGTACCGGTCGTACAAGTAGTAAAAATATCGTATCCATAGGGATTAGAAGGTAAAATAAGCATTCATTGGCTACTTGTGACTTGAGAACAATTCCAATTTATATGAATATGAATTAAAGAACAAAACTACTGGAATTGTTAAAAACACACATAATTGAATTAGAATGGAAATGGGGTAAGAAATGGCAAAATGGAAACTTGAGGTTGTGGGGATTATACTTCACCAAACAACATACTTCTGAATCCTAGAGCTCTTGTTACATTCATTGCTCAGTCAACCATAAATTTACTCAGACTTAATCCCTTAGAGAAAGAGCCTAGGTGAAAATATTGAATATCAATCCCTTGAGTACCCAATACCTACACCCGCATTACCGATTAGGGTTTTAAGACTACTAATGGGTCATGCCCTATCCCTAGGTACAATCTCCACTAGGCATATGTTCAGAACTAGTTTCAATAATATTTCCCAATAGTCATTAAAACCTTAAATCATGCAAAGGGTGATCAAGCCAAAGCAAACATTAGGTATAGAAACATACACAACAAAGAGTGAAACAACACACATATATATCATTAAACACAAAGGATTACAAAAGATTTTGTTGGTTACATCAAAACCCCAATACAAAGGATAGAACCACTCAAAACAATGAGGGGAAAACTAAAATAGAGATGGAAGAGGAAGTGAATAACCGAAGGAATGATCCACCATGGCCGTTCCCAAGCTCTGGGAATTCCTTCCGCAGCTCCTGGAGGCGCCCCTGAGTGAATGAGGGAGAAAACCCTCGAAATTTTCCATTTATACGACCCTGGGGAGTAAGATTAGGGTTATCGCGCCCGGCGCGGTACACTTCGCGCCCGGCGCGGGCTTCCCCTAATGCTCAATGTGCTCTCGGCCTTGAATTGCGCCCGGCGTGGTTAACACTGCGCCCGGCGTGAGGCTTCCAAAGGCTGAGAGTACTCTATTTTATGCCCGCCCGGCGCGGTTAACACGGCGCCCGGCGCGGTTTCCTTCTTTGCTCCTTAATTCTTTTGATTTTTCCACTCCTATGGCCTTTTTATCCTCAATTCTCTACCTGAATACCTGCATACACAAATTAAAACAAGTAGAGAACAATTATAATGTAATGGTACCAAGAATGGAAGGAATTGATCATTAAATCTTGTATAAAAACAAGTATAATTTAGGCTTAACAAATTCCCCCAAACTTAAAACCTTGTTTGTCCTCAAGCAAAAGGTAATTAATCTAGTAGATAACAAGCAATGCATGTATGTCAAATTCCTTATTCTCGGTTCACTTGTAATTTCATTTCGCAAGCATGAACCTTAAACGAACTTTCAGCCACAATTATTGCAATGGAACATGACAAGGTGCACACAAAAGTTTCAAAAGAGATCAAAGAGCTGAGAAAAGTTAATGACTATCTATGAATGTATCCTTACTAGGAAAGTGTTTCTCTCTATGCACACTAGTGTATCAGGGTGAGTGTTTCTCTCATAGCTACTACTCACGCCACAGGATTCAACTTTGCTCTTTGTTTCCAAATGAAACCAATGGTAATACAAATGCAGGCACTTATCACAAGGGCTTTGTTAGGGCGATCTGAGGCAATTAGGGTCAAGCATAGCAATTTCATGGTTTTTCAAGGAATGAGGGTGTTATAGCTTAAGAGAGTAATTGAAATTTCTACAATAACATCTTTCTCCATACCCCAATGTAACATTTTAGCACAGTCCCTCAACCAATTCTAGCCATTAGCCTTTATGTGATGCATCTGTACACTTTTGCATCTTATTTTTTTTTTTTTTTTATTGGATGACCACATACTTCTTCTTTCTCAATTTTCCTCATTCTTCAACTCCCCCAAACTTGTTTGATGTCATCATTATACTCTCTTAACCAAAACAAAGGTTATGGTTAATTGCTCACTGGTTGGGATAAGTGGAAGGTTAAGTGTTTAGGCGTAGGAAGTTATGGGTCAAATGAAAAATAAATGTGGCTTTTGGCTTAGATGGTTATCAAAATATGGAAATGCCTTGATCATGTAAATGCACTACACTAGCAAACCACCAGGGAAACTCAAGCAAAGTCTATCATGCAACATAAGTGTAGTTTCTCTCATTAGTGTTTAGGCTCAGACCTCACCCGGTTGGCATCCACAGATTATCAAACTCAGCTCAGTCTATGATCAACATTGAAACCCATATGCAACTAATCATGAACTAAAGCTCTAACATGACTTCAAAATGTCTAAGGTACACACACCACAAATATCAAGCAAACCTCAATCCAGAATTGATCACATACAAAACAAGTATCAATCAAGATTAAAAACCTTATAGCAGGATATTCACAAAAAGATGACCAACCAGAGTAATCCCAAAAATACTTAAAATAACAAACAGAAAATTAAATTTCAAACAGCGGTAAACTAAGGTGCGCTCCATCTGCTTCTCCAATCTGATCATCATCCTCAGTAGGTGCTCCACCGCATCTGCATTAGCAGCTCCACTCCCCCAAACTTAGAAGCCTGGCCCCCAGGCCAACCAGTATATGCCTGAAAGTCCTAGTAACCAAAAATGGTGAAGGAGTATAATCATGAAAGAACATGGTGAGCATAACAATTAAACACAGTGATGACCATGCATTTATAGAAAAAAATGAAGAACATCCTTAGACCAAAATTAATCACAACACACAAACATAATGAATCATGCTTGAAAATGGACAAATATGGGTTGGCAGGAGGGTGTGCGCCCGGCGCATCACAGGCGTGCCGGGCTTGCTATCAGTAAAAATTATAGAGGTTTTAACTCTGATATCGCGCCGGGCGTGACTTGTGTCGCGCTGGGCGTGACTTGTGAAGTCCCACATCGGCTAGTAAGGTGAACGAAGCATGCCATATATATGGGTGTGGATACCTTACTCTAGAGGACGCGTTTAGGGATGCCATGAGGGCATTGCCTAGAACAAAACCCATTGTGGGACAATATCTGGCCATGTGGGGTCGCTGCGCTACTCTGATGGGGTTGGCAGGACTTGCCTTGGAGGACGCGTTTTGGGGTGGTGTTGGCCATTCCCGAGAACAAATCCGTGAGGCCGTGGGCCAAAGCGGACAATATCCTCATGCGGGTTGCTTGGGCTGTTACATGACTAATATTGTGCTGGGCGCAATTGATATTGCGCCCGGCGTGCTGGTTCCAGAGACCATAATTCGAGTGTCGCGTCGGGCGCGAGGTGAAGTGCGCCCGGCGCATAACCATTGATGTGGTCAGTTTTGCCTAAATTTTTCCTTGAAAGAAGGCCTTATAACCACCCAGAACCAGAGTTACCTTATTTCTCACACTCCAAACAAAATATACCCTATATTTACTCATTCAAACCCGATTCAAACACTTAACAATTAACACAAACACACATAACATAAACAACATATAAACAAAACAAGTCACAAATAGCTATAAATACTAAATTGTCATTCTAATCCCCGGCAACGGCGCCAAAAACTTGCTGAGAATTCCGTTGAAGTACACATCAACGGACTCAGACACGGCAAGTGTACCGGTCGTACAAGTAGTAAAAATATCGTATCCATAGGGATTAGAAGGTAAAATAAGCATTCATTGGCTACTTGTGACTTGAGAACAATTCCAATTTATATGAATATGAATTAAAGAACAAAACTACTGGAATTGTTAAAAACACACATAATTGAATTAGAATGGAAATGGGGTAAGAAATGGCAAAATGGAAACTTGAGGTTGTGGGGATTAGACTTCACCAAACAACATACTTTTGAATCCTAGAGCTCTTGTTACATTCATTGTTCAGTCAACCATAAATTTACTCAGACCTAATCCCTTAGAGAAAGAGCCTAGGTGCAAATATTGAATATCAATCCCTTGAGTACCCAATACCTACACCCGCATTACCGATTAGGATTTTAAGACTACTAATGGGTCATGCCCTATCCCTAGGTACAATCTCCACTAGGCATATGTTCAGAACTAGTTTCAATAATATTTCCCAATAGTCATTGAAACCTTAAATCATGCAAAGGGTGATCAAGTCAAAGCAAGCATTAGGTATAGAAACATACACGACAAAGAGTGAAACAACACACATATATATCATTAAACACAAAGGATTACAAAAGAGTATGTTGGTTACATCAAAACCCCAATACAGAGGATAGAACCACTAAAAACAATGAGGGAAAAACTAAAATAGAGGTGGAAGAGGAAGTGAAGAACCGAAGGAATGATCCACCATGGCCGTTCCCAAGCTCTAGGAATTCCTTCCGCAGCTCCTGGAGGCGCCCCTGAGTGAATGAGGGAGAAAACCCTCGAAATTTTCCATTTATACGACCCTGGGGAGTCAGATTAGGGTTATCGCGCCCGACACGGTACTTCTCATTACCATTGTACAAATTCCATTCCATGTTAATAAATGAAATTTTCCACTTTTTTGTTAGCATTTTAATTTCTGTACAGAAAAAGCCAAAAATCGACAAAAAAGGCAAATTCAGAAAAATCCAAACAAATTATACAGAATAACTGAGCCTGGAGAGGCTTGCCGAAATAATACTCCCCAGAGACATCTCAGCTTGCACTCTTGGGTCGAATTCCCGGTGAAAGCTATCAGCGCAAGATCAGCATGATTCCCCAATGGAAGCACGATCATCCAAACTAGATATCCGAGTCAAAAGACTCAGACTTCCTCAGTGGAATATAGCTTTCCAACTCAAGCGACGAGTGAAGCTAAGCCTGCAGAGGCTTCCTAAATAATACTCTGGGAAACGCAAGATCCTCAATCCCCAGTCGCCTACTCAGAAGCACCCCTTCAAAAGAGAAAATCCGAAAAATCAATAACCATTCCCCAAGCGGAATTTGGCATTCAGCCAAACACCGAACGTCAAGATAATCCGCCTAATCCCCCAGCGGATAACAGCCTGCACAGAGGCAACAAAAATCAAAAAATCAAAAAGAGACACCCGGACAAGGATAACCGGGATACTTCACCAACGTCGAAAGGATGTCAGCCAATCATAAGGCATCACTCACCTCAGAAAGAGCATCTTTGTGTCTACAACCCCAAGGAATCAGAAATTCCCCAGTGGACACCAACTACAGAAAGTTGGGACACAAGAACCTATGAGTAACTGCACATCCCCTAGACAGGATCCCTGCGTTATCCAGCCCTCAAAGGCGCCAAAATCAAAACAACCGTCGAAACAGCATCGTGGACTGTAGAGACAAAATCATCACAAATCCCTGGAGAAGGCAAACTCACGCTACCAAAGTGACCAGAAGCACGGAGGTATACAACCCTGGAGAGGGCAAACTCAAGCTGCCAAGGTGATCAGAAACACCGAGGCATGCACAAGCCTGGAGAGGCGGTACTCAGCTACCGACGTCGTCAGAAACACGGAGGTATGCAGCTACCGAGGTTGTCAGAAACACCGAGGCATGCACAAGCCTAGAGAGGCGGTACTCAGCTACCGAAGTTGTCAGAAACACTGAGGTATACACGAGCCTGGAGAGGCGACGACTAATACTCGACCTGGAGAGGCTACTCAACGATTTTCCCATCCGAAGACACTATAAGTCGGAAGGATGGCCTACTCCCCGAACAATTGGGTCAACTCCTTTACTTGTCAACCGGTACACCAAAAAAGTCGTTCGACTAAGTAAAGGGGGGGCAGCTGTAGACCCCAAAAATTGTCCGGGTCGGAAACGAAGACTCCAAGACTCTCGAAGACCGAAGGAAAGTCAGCTGGAAGGACTCCTAGAAGACCCTAGGATGATTCTTTGTAGGTCTAGAGGCCTTAGAGTAACTTAGAATAAGAACGTGTGAGGATTGGAGCTCAGTACACCCTCCTAGGGGTTCAGTACGGCCGTAGTGAACTCAATACGGCTGTATTGAAAGTTCTGAACTTTCAATACGGCCGTACCAAATTCAATACGGCCGTACTGTAGTTCAAAACTTCAGTGCTGGCCGTATTGACTC